CGGGATGAGCTTATATCTTTAAAAAATGTCAATAATTAAGAAATGACCTTGTAACTCGTGAACTATTGCCATTTTTAAAGTTATAAGCTCATTCCGATGTTGCACTCATCAAGACCTTTCATTTGAATACCCACATCAATTTTTCATATATTTATATATATTATATATATGTATATATGAAAAATATATCAGAAATGCATGTGGGTACTCAAATGAAAGCTCTTGATGAGTATAACATCGGGATGAGCTTATATCATTAAAAATGTCAGAAGTTAAGAAAGTACAGTGCAATTCAACATAATTAAGAAATGACCTTGTATCTTGAGAACTATTGACATTTTTTAAGATATAAGCTCATCACGATGTTACACTCATCAAGACCTTTCATTTGAGTACCCACATCAATTTTTCATATATTTATATATGATATATATGTATATATGAAAATACATGTGGGTACTCAAATGAAAGCTCTTGATGAGTGTAACATCGGGATGAGTTTATATCGTTGAAAATGTCAATAGTTAAAACAGTACAGTGCAATTTAACGAAATTCATTATTTAACAAAACAAAATTTTATTTATTTACAGTTCACATAGTGACTGCAAGGTTGTTAATTATTATTGATTAAAAAAATCTAAAATTTAAAAATATCGGCTAATTTCTGTGTGATAAAAAAGCAAATTTTAAGATGACACTGTCCCCAGATAATCGTGAGCAACGTCAAAGCCTCTGGGGACAATAATTCTCTGGTGGAATTCAGTCACTACGATTGGTGTCAACCTGAATTGAGAGCGCCTCTAGCAGTGGCTCGAATTTCTCGATAGCCTTCACTCGTACAAGTCTCCAATAATGTAAGTGCATTTTAAATCCATCGCTCTTAAATAATAACCATAAATGTATTTTATTATATTATATTTATTAAAATAATCCATAAAATGTCCGGGTGAATTTACGACAAATCCGTTTAATAAACCGGTTGAGCTGTCCTCGTGATCTCAGTAATCAGTAAATTGTATTATATATTACTAGAGTAGAGTAGAAATATATAATTTTTAATATAAAATAATATAATACATAAATATCGTGGAGTGTAGTGTCCAACCACGCACTAAATTTCCATAAAACCGATTAAATAAAAGCGTACAAGTTGAGCTGCCGTAGAGAAGAGATTCAGATTTAATTCAGATTGAAGCTTAAGCAGCCAGTACATACCAGGCGGCGTTTACTCTTTGTCAATCGGCCATTAATATTTATTATTTCTATTTCTTTGTCCGGTTGATCTTGAGTTGAGCGTTGGACGTTGACTCACCACCAATCTTGGGCTGCTACATCGATGCACAGTTTTGTTGCTATGGGTGGAAAGAAGTAACCTTCGGTGTGTCGCACGCGCGCGTCTGATTTATCGGTTCAACTTGTGTATACCAGCCACATCGGCTTTCGAATCTCGATCGCTTCTTCTTCTTCTTATTTGTATTCTTCTTCTGCTTATTTTCTCTACACTACACATATATACATATAATACAGAAATATATTCAACCGTTGTCCTTAGGATGCGCTGCATTCTTATTCATTTATTTCTGGGCTTGGGAGCTTCTACGATCGCTGATGTTATTCCTCCAGTTAAGTTACTCCTGGAGAAGTCGGTTGGAACAAAATAATTCCAATTATTTGCTTGCTCAAGATCTTGAGCTTGAAGCTTCAACTTTAAGCTTTCTAGAAAGACTACACTGAAAAAAATTAACTTGAACCAAGAAAATAATTTTGAAAAGTTTCATTGTTTAGAATCAAGACAAAAAATTCTTGAATTAAAATTATTTTAAACCAAGAAAAATATCTTAGTTGAAGATTTTTTTTACTCAAATCAAGAAGAAGTTCTTCTTGACTTGAACTTGTGCTTTTTCACCTTGTATCTTGAGAACTATTGACATTTTTAAAGATATAAGCTCATCCCGATGTTATACTTATCAAGATCTTTCGTTTGAGTAGCCACATCAATTTTTCATATATTTATATATATTACATATATGTATATATGAAAAATATATCAAAAATGCAAGTGAATACTCAAATGAAAGCTCTTGATGAGTGTAACATCGGGATGAGCTTATATCTTTAAAAGCGTCAATAGTTAAGAAAGTACAGTGCAATTTAATAAATATCTTCTGAAATATTGACATTTTTAAAGATATAAGCTCACCCCGACATTCCTCTCATCGAGACCTTTCATTTGGGTACCCACATCAATTTTTCATATATTTTATATATTTATATATATTATATATATATATATATATGTATATATGAAAAATATATCAAAAATGCATGTGGGTACTCAAATAAAAGCTCTTGATGAGTGTAACATCAAGATGAGCTAATATCTTTAAAAAAGTCAATAGTTAAGAAAGTACAGAGCAATCTAACAAAAGTCATCATTTAATAAAGCAAAATTTTATTTATTTATAGCAAGTGACTGCAAGGTTGCTAGTTAATTTTAATATTTTATTTATTACAATATGAACAAATCTTATTTATATTTTACAATAAATAATTCTAAAAAATTTTATTTTTCAACAGGTTATGGGCCAATACTTATTTCTAAAGTATACTCCGTTTAATTCCTCTACTTTATTTAAAGAAGAAAGGAAAAAAATTTTTCTAACAATCGGAGGGAAACCGAATTCTACGTATAGTAGAAGGGGGTAAATGTAATAATCTTAATTATGGTTATTGTCGTTATTATACTTTGCAACAGTGCATATGAAAAAATAAAAATTCATTAATATATACCTTATATTTGTTAAAAATATAGCAAATAATTCGTTCAAATTGATAATTTATTATTAGTTATATTTCTTCTTAACATTAAAAAATGTTTAACATGAAGTAGATGATTATGCAGCGACCGGTTGAGCGTATATATTTTTTGCAAGCATTGAAATACGCATATACCCTAGACGGCTTGAGACCTTCAGAGTATCCAGTCCACGAGGAAGCTACCAGACCTTTTAAGGTCGCATAAAAGGGGTTGCGGGCAGGGTTTCTTGGAAAATGGTCACCGCGCTTGGCATTGCGCGTTTCTTTGGGCATCAACTGATCAGCCGAAGATGGAGGAAAGAGCAGAAGAAACGAATCATCGACCGGTTCGGCTCTTGCTCTTGGAGACACTGGCTCAGTCCAACTGGACCTCTTTCTCTGGAAAAAAATCCAAAAAACGTCAGTCAAATACCTCAAACTTATTTCACGCATTATTATACTTATTGACTTTCCATTTTTTTTCATACTTACTTAACTCAGCTGAGGAATTTACTGTTGATTTATTAAAACAGTTGCATTGCGCTTTTTATTAATCGGCATTTACTCTTTTGTTTTACACAAATATAGTTGCGACAGAGCTGAAAAGATCAACAGAAAACAGAGCGGTGACACGACCCTCGGCGGCGAAGAAGATAAATAAATATAATGAGTGCCCAGGAAGCTGGTAGCAGTAAAGACAAATCAAAAGCACCGCCAAAAACTCGAAATTACGCGGAAGTTAAAGAGGATCCTCTGGATACTGGCTTATCCAAAGGCGAGAACAGTCAGATCGGCGGTTGCGATTCTCCTCAGGTAATACATGTATCGCTCTTTTTAATCTTTTATCTTTACACGACTCTCATCTGGAAATTTCTTCAGTGGCTTTAATCTTTACAATGGCATTCCATCTGCTGTTCGTTACAATTTATAATTCTTATCTATATTATTAAGAGAATAAGAAAATTTTGTGTCTAGGATAGTCATATGATAAAATCGGTTTTTTAGTGAAATTTAGTGTCATTGCAAAGATCTTGACTTTAATTAAGAAATGAGCTTGTATCTTGTAAACTATTAACATTTTTAAAGATATAAGCTCATTCCGACATTACACTCATCGAGACCTTTCATCTGAGTACCCACATCAATTTTTTCATATATTTATAAATATTATATATATTTCACAAATACCATATATATAAAATATATGAAAAATGCCATGTGGGTACTCAAATGAAAGGTCTCGATGAGTGTAACATCGAAATGAGTTTATATCTTAAAAAATGTCAATAATTAAGAAACGACCTTGTATCTTGAGAACTATTGATATTTTTAAAGATATAATCTCATCCCAATGTTACACTCATCAAGACCTTTCATTTGAGTACCTACATCAATTTTTCATATATTTATATATATTACATATATATGTATATATGAAAAATATATCAAAAATGCATGTGGGTACTCAAATGAAAGGTCTTGATGAGTGTAACATCGGAATGAGCTTATATCTTTAAAAATGTCAATAATTAAGAAAGTACAGTGCAATTTAACATAATTAAGAAACCACCTTGTATTTTGAGGACTATTGACATGTTTACAAAACGATTGGAACCAAAAAAAAAATTATACACCCTTTTGGTTTTACGAAGCCAAACTTTTACACGCCCTTTTGGCATTTGGCACGTGATTTATTTATAATAAACCAATCTCATTTGATTTAAATAATCTGCTCTATCACACAACTCTTGAGAAAAGTAAATTTTCGTGGAAGAATGCATTCTTCAATAAATATGTTGATATAAATAAATTTTATAATCATTGAAAAAACTGTCAATTATTTGCGACCTAATAAGACTATTTTATTTTTCTATATACATTTCTATTACTAATCAAAGCTTCTTAATAGAGTAAAATAGCTTCCGGTCGTCTTGAAAATCTACAATCATATAAAGTACCAGTTAGACAAATACTTATTAATAAGCATGCATTAGTTTAATTTCAAATACAAACTCGTGTCATTTGCTCACGATCCAAATTAAGAATACCATATGCCATGAATTTGTATTCTTTGTTGGCCCGCATCATGATTATCGCTAGTAATTGCTGAACTTTTTTATCACAAAATGCCCATGGAGAATTAAAAATTGTCGGCGCTATATTATTCAACTTTTTGAAATACAATGAGTTAAAAATCCATCAAGATATTTGTGAGTTTTAAATGAATGTCTGAAATTTTAAAATATAGTTACCAGTTCCGAAGTTTGATGGGCAAAATCGCAGTAAATGACTATTTGTATAAACAATGTGATTGCATGTGTTACACTTTTAGCAAATTTACGCCAATCTCCTTCAGTTGCTTCCTGAAAATAAATTTTTTTCAATGATATAATGAAAAATTTTACTTCTGCGTTCTTACTCTGTCTAACATTATAATACAGCAGCAAAGGTCGATTCCATTGAACAATATTGTAAAAAAAAAAATTGGGTTAAATAGATTCTCTACCTGCTTACACAACCTGCAAGTCAATAAAATTATCAACTAAAAAAAAATAATTATTTTTATCGGATTCATTTTGAGTCATATAATGCTTATCTAATTTTCTATAAAAATAAAATTTTATTGCTCTTATAAAAGTAATTAGAAAAAAATTTATTGTTCTTTTTAACTCGCAAGAAAAAATACCTTTGAGGGGGTATTCTGGTTTAGAAGCTTGAATTTAAGATAATATTCAAGTAAATATCAAAAAATGATATTTACAATTACCTCATAAGATGTTCGTGTCTTTTAGCTAAATTGCTAATTCTGTTGACAGTAAAGTATTCATGAATTTCGTCGGCATCGTATGATTCCAAAGTAAAATTGTTAGATAACGCCTAAAAAAATTAAAAGCAATTTTTTTAAAGAAATAAGTTTGGCAAGGAGGAGAGTTACTAATTAAATTACCAATATATGTATGCGAAGGTGTGTGGTAAGTTGGATAAAAGTGATATCACATGCTACCCAGTATATAGTAACCAAGTAATCCACTATTGCTTCGTAAATGAGACACAAATTGTAGCTTAAATCTGTATCATGGGGGAATGCATAATTTAGGGGATAAATTGTCATTGAATAGTCAATTTCAAGCGGTCCGTTTTGGAAAAATCCAATCAACATTGCACTGTTTGTTGGTAATGAAAATTATACAAGCTTAAAATTATTTATAATTAATTTAAAAAGAAGAAGAAGAAATTATTATACCACTGAGAGAACAGTTTATTTAAATTAAATGAGGTTGGTTTATCCTTTAGTAAAAAGTTGATGTGACGTTTTCATTGTTGTCGCTTTTCGTTGCCATGGTAATCGTTGCTATGGTAACCGTTGCTATGGTGAATTTTTTCCGGTTAAATATTCATGAGTAAAATTTATAAAAATATTGATTAATTAAATTGTCGATAATAAACATTTTGACAGAAGCTCGCAAAGCGCGTTCGATTTTCTAGTTATAAGTAAATCGGTTATTTCAATACCACCCAAAACTTCGCGTGCCAAATGTCAAAAGGGCGTATAAAGGTTTTACGCCCTTTTGGCTTTGCAAAACCAAAAAGGCGTGTAATTTTTTTTTTTTTTTGGTACCAATTGTTTTGTAAACATGTTCTAAGCCTAATAATAAAAAAAAATTTTCCAAACCCAAAAGGGCGTATGTTTCAAGTTATACGCCCTTTCGGCTTTAGAACACTGAAAAAAATAAATTGTTTTTCTCAGTGCAAGTACTTTTAAAACAAACCACTGAATTCGCATCAAAGAAACTGTTTTCTCAGCGCGATATATCTTACCCGTATGGGGGGAGTGCGTAAACTAAGCCAAGTATAACTGCCGAGCCTAAGTATAAGTACCTTGGTGGCTTAGTGCTGTTAATTATGTCATCTATTTCACTCCTTAGATGTTTCAATGTCTTAACATCTTCCCATAATATGTGAAAATCACGAAGAATGCTAAAAAAAGCGTTTTTGTGTGACGCAAATCGCGTAATCTGTAAAAAATAAATACAAAAAACGTTAAACCTTTGTAAACAATACACGTGCTTAAAGGTAAAAGGGCATATAGCTAAGGGTTAATAGGAATTTGTGCTGAAAGGGCGTATAAAAAAATTTTTTTTTGCCATTCGATTTGAAATTGTCTAAAAGGGCGCATAAAAAAAATTGTACACAGTAAAAAATATTGTGTAAAATCAACACAGTTTGTGTGTTAAAAACGGTTGACACAAAATATATGTTGAAATTTCAACACAAATTTTGAGTAACCCCTTTTTAACACAAAGATTATGTTGAAATATCACCACAAGAGGGCGCAAAGAATCATACACTTCTAAAGTGTCAATCTTAACACAAAATAAATGTTAAATAAATTTATTTATTTTTATCAACTGTTTGATGCCTATAACAATTACCGACTATAAATAATTGGAAGGAAGAAAGTGAAAAATTTTTAATAATTAAATCAAAAAATAATTTATAGGTTTTAAGGAGGAAGCAGCAGAGTTATAAATTTATGAAAATGAAGTTAACCGACATTTTAAAACTTTTAGAAATTTTTTATTGAAAAAATTT